ATTACTATTGACCAGTTTGAAAGACACTAATGTCAAAATTGTTGTCACACAAGAGAAGTTCTAACATGGCATGGGAAAGAAGCTATAATCCATGCAATTACTTTGATAGCTAATTAGAAATAAATACAATTATAGACTAAACAAATTTTTTTTTTTTGGGTAATTTTTTTTTTTTTTTTTTCTGTAAATAGATTACTCAATTTTTATTCCAAGTAGTAATAATTTTGTCACAATTAGAATGCCAACGTTCCATATCCCAAATTTAACAGGGGATGAAAGAGACTGTTTTAACTGTTAATTCATAGCCTGATGAAATTTTCTTTGCCAAAATAATTGATTTTGAAAATGGTACCACAGAATTTCAATTTGATTAAAAATAAGAAACAAATGGACAAAGTGTGTAAAGTTTAGGAGGTGATGATAATGACCTAAGACTTGATAAATGTCACCTATTTGATATGATTGTCTTCCTACTATTCATCCCGTTGTCTGATCAAAATTTTCTAAGAAAATTTTGAAGTTTTGAGGCATTTGACATGTAAATTTTTTGTACATGAATTAATTAGTTTAATTGGTTTAACATAAGTAATTTTTAGATAACAAAAAGCAATAACCACCCATAAAGGTGTATAAAACCTAAAATCGGAAAGCAGACTCACTATCTAACCATTTTTTATTCTCAGATATTTAAAAATTTTAAATATATGTAATCACTCAAAAATCACGTGCATTATTTAAGTGCGAATTTCATCTCTAGCTCAAATTTTCGATCCAAACCCTGAGTGAACAAGTGAATCACATGCCAAACTCAGCAATTAGGGTACCCCATCCCAATCCATGATTCATCTTAAAAAGTTTGTTAGGGGTCACAAGAACTACAGTTTAAAGATTGGGTTTTGACAAGATGGGGATATAATAAGGTTACAAAGACTGAAACAAGAAGTCTACATTTTTGTACTGATCACTTGTATTGCCAAATAAGGACCCCATTTATCTCTAGTTCAGGTGGGATTGTCCCCTGGGAAGGTGGTTAGTCTAATCAATTTCACCAAATCTCATCCCAAACATTTCAACATTTTCCATCTTTATATCTTAGCTCCTAAGCTCGAAAGGACAACCAAGTCACCATCTCTAATGTGCCACAAGTCTCCTCTCTTAGAGCTTGCCAAAAATTGCTCATTTAATGTCACTTGGAAGTGTATCACATGAATTTTATATACTTAAAAGAGCTTGCTAAAATTTTCACATTTAATGTATCACAAGATTTTAGTTAATGTATAACCGAAAATCAATGGAGGATAATATTTAAGTCTTTACTAATGAAGATGTATTTCATTCTTATTGTTAATATTGATCAATAATAAATGGACACATCTTCAATTACAAAATCAAAGATAATGGGATACATATTTATCGATCGGTAAGGACCTCAGTATTTTTCTTTATTTTTATTTTTTAAATTTTATAATTAAAAAGAATATATCCATTTATTATTGGTTCACATACATCATCACTAATGGGGATCTAAGTATCGTCCATAGATCAATAGCGTTAACCAATCAAGATTTTGACGTGGTTTCAAAACTACTCTATTTACTTCTAATGGTTATTAAATTTAGCTAGTTAAAGGTGTAAATTTTTTAGGTAGCCTAAAGTTTCATACAAAACTCCAAGCCTGCAACAACTGATTTAATTCTTGCTTTATCATATGAAATTAAAATGTCACATGTACATCCTCAATTTTGGTATCAAACCTATAACGTTTTTTACGAGTTTGGTATAGGAGAAATATTTCCTGTGGCATGCAAGGGTAGGGAGCCACATGTATGCTTAAAATTTTTTTTATATGTATATGTATATATATAGATATATAATAGATATGTGTGGTGTATATTTCTAGTGGTATATAACTATATATGTTGACATCTCCACAGCCCCCACAGAAATAATTGTTGTATAAAAGCCCTGGAATTGTTTATAACTTGAAAAGAAAGCCCATCAAGAAGGAGAGTTTTGAGCTATAGGGCATAAAAAAACTGGCTATAGCCCAAGATTGAGGCTACATTTAGAAAGAAGGTCGAGTAAGCCCAAGTTCAGATCAAAAGGCCCACGAGAGTCACGAAAAGACTCATTTGAATGTAAAAACACTTTATTTTCAAATACAACCGGGGTCTTTATACCACCACTACACATTTATGTATTGTATTTTCTTCTACAAATAAATCGAGAATGTAACAACACGCAATCATTTACGCGAAGATGCAACAATAATGAAAATATGTTGCATTCTCGATTATGGGCAAGCCTTCGGATAATTGAACAGAAAGAGGGAGAGGGGGGAATTTTTTTCATCAAATAGTATGCTATTGATGCATAGAGACTGTACAAGGACTTCAAGTCCCCCAATTCAGCTCCTTTCAGTTTCGCAATTATGAACTGTTTGTGCAAATAAATTAAGAAGGAAGCTTTTGGGCTATAGGGAATAAAAAAACTGGCTATAGCCCCAGATTGAGGCATATTCTATACAGTATCAGAAAATACATTTAGAAAGAAGGCCACGTAAGCCCAAGTCCAGATCAAAAGGCCCACGAGAGTCACGAAAAGACTTGTCATTTTAATGGAACCAACCCAGATCTCTCGATACCACCACTACACATTTATGTATTGTACATTCTTCTACAAATAAATCGAGAATGCAGCATCATGCAATAATTTATTCGAAAATGCAACAATAACGAAAATATATTGGGCAAGCCTTCGGATAATTGAACCAAAACTGTACAAGGCCTTCAAGTCCAACTCAGATCCTTTCCGATACACAATTATGAATTGTTTGTATAAAATAAATTGAGAATGTAACATCATGCAAAATTATAAAATTGAGGATGTAAAAATGATAAAATGTGTTAGCATTCTCGATCATGTGAATGATATAATGTATTTTATTTGAAATAGTTCATTCATGTACCTATTAATTTTTTACTATATTTGATTGAAAGTATTTAATTATTTAGTGTATTTAAATGTTAAAACATTAAAACGTTGCCAGGTTTCTAAATTATATGACATGTTTTAAATTTCTTTTATATAGATATTTATTTTATTTTATTTTTTTAAAGCAAGATTTATAATATATTCAAAGGAAAATAGAAATTAAATTAAATTGCAACCATATACTATGGTTGCGATCCAGGGGTGGACTCAAAGTCAAAAAAAAATAAAAATATAAAAAAAATTAATTTCTATTACTATAGCCAATTTTAGCCTAGCTAATATATATATATATATATATATATATATATATATATATATATATATAGTATTAGGCCACTCTATTGACAATTCCTAGATCCGTCTTGATTGGAAAAGGTATATTTTGTATGAAATATATATCTTTTATGTTGATATTGCAACTTCAATGTAGCATGCTGAATGTCATTTAAATTCAAATATTTTTGTGCCTTCTGAGAATCGAACTCAGGATGTCCGAGTTACAACTCGCCTCTTGAAACTCTTAATCACCTAGTCACCTTAATGGCTTCACCGATATTGTTTGTACACTAATAGTTAATAATTCATGACTCATGGAAACTGGTCATATTGTTTGTCATGCCTCTGCTCCGATCTTCAAATCATATTTGAAATTTTGAACTTTTCCTTATGGTTTGCTATGAAGTTACTCAGTTGTTCTCGCTTTGGTTGCCTTCAAACCAGCGGTCAGGTTTTGCAGGTTAATAAACTGCCTTTTAATTTGCCAGAAGACTTATGGGCTCTTTGGGCTTCTTAAGTTGGGTTTGTGGCTTGTTTGCTTGCCTGGACGAACATGAGTACATATATATTTAATTATTACATCCCAAATATGATTTAAAACACAATATATGTGCAATTGCGTGGGTGGCCACATGTAATGCTTTTCATTTCTCTTAGTGAGAGGGGTGTCCTCTTGATGCATAATAGAATTCTGAACAGTTTGGTAAGTCCGTTTTTCTTTTTCGACCGAAAAGTAAGTTTTTTTTTTTTTTTTTTTTTTTTTTTTTTTTTTTTTTGGGAAACGACCAATTGAGAAAACCTTCGTTTAGGATTCCGAGTAGAAATTCTAGTATTCCTAACACATCACACATCAGAGTCCGGGAATGTGTATTCTTTTTTCTCTAACTCTTTGAGTGTTGGATGCGGTTTCTCCTTCTCTTGGACTTTACTTTGCTTGTCATCTCCTTTGTTCTTCTCCTTTGTGGAGATCTTCAATGGTACCGCCATGTTGGCCATTATATTTTTGTTGCCTTTCTTTGCCGGTTTCTCATTTTTCCTTACTTATTTCTTATCCTTGCGTTGCTCCAAGTAAGAAGGATTCTTTCCACCATGAGTATTGATGCTAATTTGTACATCATTTGCAAGTGTTGCCAATTCTTCAAAGGTACGAGGTTTGATACCTTTCCTTGCATGTACATCTCAACAACAAAAATTTATGAGAGTCCATTATAAGAAAAACAGTTTTTTACCACGCTTTTAAAAAAACCGTGGTAGAAAACCCTTTCTACCACGATTATTTTAAAACCGTGGTAGAAGAACTTTTCTACCACGGTTAAAATAACCGTACTAGAAAATATATTCTTTTACCACGGTTATTTTGAAACCGTGGTAGAAAGACCCGCTTAAATTACATTTAAAATAATTCACTTTCTACCACGGTTTTAGAATAACCGTGGTAGAAAATACATTCTTTTACCACGGTTCAAAAATAACCGTGGTAGAAAATGTATGATTTTACCATAATTTTTTTTATAACCATGGTAAAAAGTGAATGAGTAATTTAGGCGGGTCTTTATACCACGGTTATTAACCGTGGTAGAAGTTGAATTTTTTTAATGTAATTTTGGCTGATCTTTCTACCACGGTTACTCTAAAACCGTGGTAGAAAGTGAAATTTTTTCACTTACCTTCTGGCGGGTCTTATTCCCGCTAGTGTCAATAAAATATATATATATGTAAAATATATATGCTGCTACAGAAACCACTTACAGAACACAAACATATATCACAAAAGCCGGCCCTCGCTTTCTCGACCTGGTTCACGATTCGGAGTCTATGGCCTCTGAAATTCTTGAAATCAATGTATACGGAGGCAGCAACGCAGGAGGAAGCTCCACCGCCGCCTGCTGCCGAGGAGAAGCCGCCGGAGAAGGAAGAAGATAGGAAAGCAGAGCAAGGAGATGAAAAGAAAGCCGGCCACCCCCTTTCTCTCAGACCGTCTAAGCCGTCATTCCTCTTTCTCTCCGAGTCCAACCCTTCTACCGAAGCCACTGAGGGTTGAATCGACGGTCAGCGCAGCGTTAGAGCAGAGAAGATAGTGGCACAGCTGATTGGCGTCGAGATTGAACAAGGATTCCCCCCTTTCTCCAAGCCCTAACCCTAGCTCCCTCTCTCATTCGAAGCCCTAAATTCGAAGGACACGAATTGAGGTTTGTATTTTCATCCCCTGTTATATTCATCAATTTGATACTCAAATAGGTAAGGTATGGTATGGGATTCGCCCCATACTTCTAACAGAGACAGTGGTTAATTTGGTGGGTTATATATGTGTGTGTGTGTGTGTATATATATATATATATATATATATTTTCGTTGCAAAGGTAATTTGCTGCTATTACTAACATTCATCAATCTGATACTTCTTTTCTCCTTTTTTGTTTGTTTGTCTGTCTGTCTGTCTAACACACAGTTAAGTCACCTGTTTGAATCTTAACAGATAGGAATATATTATAGTAATATCTTTGTTTTGATATGTTTGTGGGTTGTGGAATGACAGACCGACAAGGCTTCAATGCTAGATGAGATCATCGACTATGTCAAATTCCTCCAGCTGCAAGTCAAAGTAAGCCTATCTCTCTCGATCTATATATATATATATATATATATATATATATATATATATATATATTGTTACTACTTTCTATATACATATTTATTATGGGTTATACAAAGGCTTCTTTCTAGTTTGACAAATTCTGAGAGAATCTGTAGTACTTTATATATATATATTGTATGGTATGGGCTTTAAAATTAAAAAAAAATGAGTTATATATAGATGATGGGCTTCTAAAATTCCATTGCTGCATCTGTGTGTGTGTTCAGGTTCTGAGTATGAGCAGGTTGGGCGGTGCTGCAACTGTTGCCCCCCTTGTTGCTGATATGTCCTCTGAGGTAAACTATATATATATATATATGCATATTTTTGTAGATGTATGTGTGTGTTTTGATACAACTATTGTGGTATATGTCAACTTGCCTTTCTAATTGTTTTTATGGCATAATTATACCCATCTCATGTTTGATGGCTGGCTCAGTGTCAAGAAGTGTCCCATTTGATGCAGTGATTGAAGAGATTTTGTTCCTATTGAGTCTTGAAACCACAGATTTGTAGAAGGAGGTGTTGGAGTCCCCCTCCTTAAGCCACTGCACCCTAGATTTTTGTCTATATGTTTGCTCCTCAGCTGCACACAATCTAGAGTAGGATGAGAGTAGGATTTTCTCTTGATTTCTGAGTGTAGGGTGATTGGGCTGTGAGTCAACGGCAATTTGGCAATGGGAAAGTTGATCCTTTGCAATTTGAACTTCAACATTTCCTGAACTTACTTTCAAGTTTCAAGAACGTTTCTTTTTAAGTGGTCATTTTGTGTGTGGACTTGTTTTTCTTGACATGCATTAACTTCAAAAGACTATATTGTTGGATAATGCATATTGTTGGTGGTTTGTTGTGTATGTAAGAGCATTTAGAATCTATGTTTCTTTAATCCCTTCCTGAAATATCAATCTTTTAATCCATGTTTTGAATAAATCTGTACCTGAGTGAGTGCATACAAGTCAATCCTTTGAATTATATTAACCATAAAATCAAATTTATTATTAGTTTTCTTTACTAATTAGGTCTCAACAGATTCTACTCAATTTGATTCTTTTATGGTAAATAATTACTTCAGCATGAGTGAAATTAACATCGTGCTTGCCAATGATTGTCTAAAAGTAAAACATGGCTGCTAGCAAAGATGTCTGTTGGTTTCATTTTAATATATATTGTCTTTTCTTTTGTAATGTTAGTTAGGGGATGAGAAAAATGAGTTGTTTGCTTTTTTCTTTTTTGCTTTTCTTGCTCAGGTGTGGGGTTGCGTAGGAATGAGTTGAGGGCATGCATAGGGTATTAACAAGGTTCTGAGAATGAATTATAGTTAAAATGGCTTAAATGTATTGTTATTTTGTCTAGATTTTGTTATTGATGAAATTTAAAAAAGATCACTAGTTCTCTTTTATACTTAAATTCAACATCACTTGTTTTTAATTAAGAATGTTGCTACAATTTGAAAGGGACCATATAGTCCACAACTAAAAATTATTAGTCTATGATCACAATGTTAACAAGATATTGCAACTGAGAATGACTCATAAGCTTTTATGTATAACTAGTCATTGTGTACCTAATACTTCCTAGACATGATACATATACATTGGCCCCCAAATCCTCTAATTTACACCCCTTTGAGAGGTATTTCAACTTTCTGAAAGCATAAATGATTACTGAAAGATTTAAGTAGAAATGCATGATGACTAATTGTGCCATGTATTACTTTTAAAGTGTATGGCATATAGAATGCTATTGTTTGGATGTGGAGATTAGCTGGACGATTTCACTTGCTTTGTTGACAAACTTTATCATTATGAAACTAATATGAAGATTACAAGTAGTTGAGAACCTGTTTTGTTTTTGTTTTTAATGTTATATTTCATTCATTCTTGTTTGGATTTTTTGTACGGTTTGCTTTAATTTGATTTTATTACATAATGTTTTCTGTATGGCTTTTTTGACTTATTGTTCAAGTTTGGCTAATAAATCCTGTTTTCTGTATGGTACTGTGTGTACATGTGTGTGTGTCTGTGTGTGTGCATATATATATATATATATAGACACACACACACTTGAACTTATTTTCTCTCTAACTGAACCTTTAAATTTTCTCTGTAGCCGTCCCGTATCTGAAAACCCAAGCGTGGATCCGCAGTTTAGTGTATAAATCAGTTTTTCCTGTGAGTATACATACTTTGGGGGGGTCACGTGCCTTTAAGTGACCAATTTTGCGGTGTATCTTGAACTTTATTACCAATAGTGACCAATTTTGCGGTGTATCTTGAACTTTATTACCTTATTGGTACATCGGCCCGTGTGGAGGCCATTTTTATTTCTTGTTTTAAAATGTTGAAAGCATGGGAGTATGGGATCATCGTATATGGAGGTTTTAATTGATTGTTGTGGAGGAGAAGTTGTTGATATGTTGTTTATACCTTAAATTTTTTGGTTTTACATGGAATAGTAGTTTACTTAAATTTTTTAGTTTTACATGGAATAGTAGTTTGTCTTTGCATGAAAATTTTGAAGCCTTTCCATCTATTATGTTATGATTTTTGTGAATGTAATAACAATATGGTAAATACCAGAGTGTTATATAGCAAGTAGCTCTTCCCCATATTTATATTTATGAATTTTCTTTAATTGATAGAAAGTCAGGCTCACTAGGAAGAGTACAAGAGCTAGTACTCTATATTTAGTTAAACGATTAGAACAAGTCCTGCATAATAAACAACCACAGTTGACAACAAATGAATTATGATTAAAAAAAAAAAAAAAAATTAGATTCATTAGAAACACAAGTTGCATACAAAATCAGCCTTAATTGTTAATCATCAGATTACGTAAAGACAAGGTCGCAAATCATTTAAAAGTATAATCCCAAGTCATATTGTACACTAGTCTATTTGAAGCTTTAGAGAGGAAGTGTAAAGTGTAAACATCTATTTTAGCTGTGAATGATCAATCTGAGGTCTAATTAGTAATATTTTGTAGTCTCTTTCTAATTTCACTTCGATCACATTCCCATTTCATATATAATGCAATGTCCACCCTCAAATGACAATAAGTTAATCTATATATCAACTTCGTTTACTTGCTACTAATCAACTATAAATTGAATTCTTCAAACATATATTCTAAGCCGAATATTTTCTACTAATAATTGAGGTCCCAACTTAGGCCAGCTTTGAGCCAGACTGGAACATCCAATATTTAGACTAAATGAGAATTAGAACGCATGTACTAATGACATATAAACCAGGTCATATAGAAATTCTACTTAGAAACCATTGGTCTACGAAGAATTCATTTGAGATAGTTAAATGCAACCGAGCTTGATTATATATATATATGTAGACAGATACGAGTTGACCTAATTAACAATCGAAGATAACTTTATTGCACAAATTTTGTTGAGTTAAAAGAATGAAAAACAAATAGCACTTGTAAGCAAGACAAAAAGAAGCTGCTAAGCTGTAAATATTTTTAGTGGACTTCACTAAAAATATTGGAAACATAAGCTAGCAAATGGACCTTGTCTGAAAACAAACATCTTGATTGAGTTGGTATATATATATATATATGTATATGTTACCAAGTAGCACACTACTAGGTTTAGAAATGAAACTGAAGAATGGAATTAAAACAGAATTAAAACAGAATTTACTAATAAAACGGAGCACCTTTAGCATTATAGTGAGTCAATTCCTCTAGAAATTGAGATACTTGCATTACATATATACAAGTTTGATATTTCCCATATACTATGCTCTAATTAGAACATTTCTAATAACAAAAGGGGATCTTCCAAGCATAGCAATTTCTTTTCTTTTCTTTTCATTTTATTTTTTTTCTCAATCAGTTATTCTTAGGAGGGTGGTGTCTTGGCAAATGGTAATCAGCACTTGAAGTTACAAAACCAGCCAATTTGAACTTCTTAAGAATATTACTTTTGTCACCGACTATACATTTCACATCCAAATCTTCCTTCCTTTCACGATAATAACATTTTCTGGAAGAATGGGTTGCACCTTATATCTTTGAAGTCTCTTTATCTACTGCCATTTGAATTTTATAGAATTCAAACCTCAAACCAGAGCTAGGGTTCCAACACCTGGCTTAATAAAATATGGGTCCTGACTCCTGGGTATGTGTAGGAGGGCTTAGGGAAGCCAAACATAAATATTTAATTAACTAAAATAATATATATGTTCTGAAAGAAAGAAAGAAAATCATTCTTCTTCATTTCAAATGTTTGAATATGGTGTCATGATTTCTTTTGGTGACGGGATGTCAATGACCCAAGATATTGAGTTAATACGAAGAGTAGATCTTTCAATGTACCTTTATTATAATGCTTGTTTTGCTTGGTTTAATTTTGACAGCTTTATAACTTGCTTTATATTCTCTGACTTCAACTATTATATCTTTGTAGGTTAAAGCTAGGATTGCAGTTGCCGTTACTTTTTTTGTTACCGTTATATTGTTTGTATGGCTCATGAAGAAGTTGCATATATGTAATGGAAGAGAGAGCTAAAACAAAGCAAGAAGCTATAAGAATTTTGTTTTATTTTGGTATGGCATAAGAAGCTAGAAATTTGTATATGGTTAATTTTTGTATAAAACAATGATTTGGAATTGGTTATATATATATATATATGATGTTATTGATTAGTTGTAAGTTATTTTGGTTATGATGCTATTTTTAATTTATTTAGTGTAGGCTTCTAGAGTCCTTGCAAGGCTAGTAGTAGGAAAAAAAAAGGCCTCGTGGAGGCTGCATTGGTATTTTTTTTTTTTTTTTAAAATTATGTAACACTTTCTATCACGGTTTTGAACCGTGGTAGAAAGTGCTTTTTCAACTACGATTCTGAACCGTGGTAGAAAATTGACTTTCTACCACGGTGCGGAACCGTGGTTGAAAATAAACTTTCTACCACGGTTTTGCACCGTGGTAGAAAGTCGACTTTTTACCACGGTGCAAAACCGTTGTAGAAAGTCGAGACTTTCTACTACGGCTGTTTCTACCACGGTTCAAAACCGTGGTAGTAAGTATTTTCCACCATGGTAAAAAGGCATTTTTCTTGTAGTGGTCGGTCTTTGCAGTCCAGGCTAAGTGCATGCCACTTGTTGATGTAATCGATAACAGGTTCATCCTTCCACTGCTTGGTGTTGGTAAGTTTTATTATGTTCGCAGTGCGGTGGGTATTGTAGAAGCGATTTAAGAACTCACGCTCCATATGGTCCCAACTATCTATTGACTCGGCCTCTAAGCCGGTGTACTAATCGAATTTAAAGCATTTCCCTTAATGGAACGAACGAATTGTTTCACCAAAATATCACCGCGTGTTCCAGCGCTGTCACGTCTCAACAAAAATTCGTTCACCAAAATATCACCGCGTGTTCCAGCGCTGTCACGTCTCAACAAAATGAGCAATGTATTGCTTATGATTCTTTTTCCAATCAAAATGTTGTGACTTGGGGGGTTGGTATCCGATTGGCATTCTCATGTTGTCGATTCGTCTTATGTAAAGCTTCGAATACATGAAAGAACTTAGAGTTGCCCTGCCATGTGACCTGATTGTATTATTGATCATGTCTCGAAGTTGTTGGACAGAAAACAAAGTGATAGACGGAGCAAGGTTGGTTTGGTTTGCCCCATGTTCGGATGTGACTGCATAATGAACTATGTTTTCCATGGTTGCTTGTGGCATGAAACCAGGATGGTGCGTACATGGGTCCTTGACTTGATTTGGCAGACTTTTGTACCTCAAGTTTGTTCATTAGTGAAGTAATCTGCAAGTCTTTTTCTTCCAGTCTTAGTGAGCTTCTCGATAGCACGGGCAACAGTCACAAGTTGTTCCTCCACTGATGCCGTGTCAGTCATCGTGACTTGCATGTGGGTTGACTGTGAAGGAGTCACTGTATGTAAAATAAAAAATAAAAAATAAAAAAACTGTATTTGCGTGCCTCCAAGTTTGTTATTTTTTTTTTTTTTAACAATGATAAGTTATTGGGTAAGTCGGGGTAGTAGTTATTGTATACTTCAATTAATCTGGACACTTTATTTTTATATTATGTCACCCATATTTATTTATATGCAAAGACTTTAAATCATATTGCATAACATTTTGAAATGTTGAAGAGATACCGATGGACTACAACTTTAATGATGTATTATTTATTTCGTATAATTAAACCGCTTAAACAACAACTTAGCATTTATAAAGATTTATAAATGTGTCTAATTAGGCACACGAATCACCTGATTGAATCTTATGTACATTATTTTAAGCTCCTCACGGCATTATTGTACCCTTAATATGCAGCAGCAGTAACAAAAAAAATAAAAATATAATCTTTCTTATACTCCCTATTTTTTTCGTTTGGGTAAATTACTATAGTCTAGGGTAAATACTGGAGTTTTTCGTATTAATTCAAAAACTGTAGTGACTTATCTAATATTTTGTAATTTGTAATAAATCATCCCCTTTCATCAATGGCCAATCAAATTAAAGGACATAAAGTTATGGACCTTTATTCTTGTACGGAGTAATAAATAAGTGTAGATTAACAAATTTAATATATATATATATATATATATATATATATATATATATATAGAAAGAGAGAGAGAGTCCTGATCTCTTACTCTCTGTAGAGTAAGAAAATTAATCCACACTTTTATCATTTTTCTTTTCTTTTAACACAAAACCACCCTCACCTTATTTTTAGTTTTTATATTTAATTTTATCATTACCACTAACTATAACAATAAAAGGTAATTATCAAAATAAAAATAGAAACCTTTGGAAAAAAAAATAATACAGTATATTTTACTAAAAATTTATTTTTATTTAGATGTTTCTTTGAAAGAAAAATAATACTCGTATCTTTCACTTTTGCAACAAGAGTGTGATATTATAGTATTTTTCTAAGAAACATCAATTTTGCAACAACAGTATGATATTATAACATTTTCCAAAGAAACATCAATGTTGCAACTATAATATACTTCTCTAGTATAAGTAAATTTACCAATAAATATACCGTAATATTGCATTTTGGAATATCGAATTGATTAATTGGAATTGAAATTGAAGAAAATTTCATTTAAAGTTTGGACAAAAATTCTTTCTATTTTAATTTGAAGCTGAGCATTTGGTGAAATTCATTATTGAATCTGTGAATTTGTGGGACTATAGAATTCACCTCAGAAACAACAAGGTAACTCAAAAAAAATTGGTGAAGCGCTCCTCACAACCTTATCCATGGAGATAAATCATTTGTCACTTTTGTCCATGAATTCAAATTCGGCCTACGAAGAAATGGAGAGGGACTTGAAAATTACCTTTTATTGTTACAGTAAGTGGTAATAATAAAATTAAATATAGAAACTAAAAATAAGGGTGAGAGTGGTTTTCTGTTAAAAGGAAAGGTTATAGTTGGGTTTGAAAAATGACCGTTAAATTTAATCTAACGGGTTTATATAAAAAGTGTGGATTAATTTTTTTTGCTCCCCATCATGACTATATATATATATATATATATATATATATATATATATATATATATATATATAAAGTACAAGAAGAAATTCCCAGCACAAGGGAAGTCCTACTTTTCAAGTCCTACTTTTCAGCCAACAGTATAAGCTGCGATTATGTTATTTTACTGCTCTTATTTTCATTAGTATTTTACCTCTTTTACATCTAATTATTAATTTAAGTTGCATATATATATAGATATATATATATATATATATATAGCGAAAGTTATGATGTTAAGGCAAAATTATGATATTACTCGTGCACTTAAATTAATGTGGATATGTTATGTAAAGCATGTGATTGTTTATTATAAAACTGTTGATACATGTTTAAGCAAAGTTATAATGTTAAAGTGAAATTATGTTTCATTCATTTTTCCACATAAATTAATTTAAAGAATTAATGAAATATTTATATACGGTGTATTATTCTTTTCAAATCAATTATGTTTGAAAATAATACTTTTATATCTAGTACTAATTTATATTATATGTTGTAATATATACATTTGTCATGGTTATTGAAGTTGGTGTGATATATGCATTTAATAATTTTACTTTTATATGTTATTGAAATTGTTTGCAATTCAAAATATATTTTTCCTTTAACGTATATTTAGTATTATTTCTTATATTTGTAGGTTTTATATTTAAGTTAAGGTCGTGGAAGAGAGAATGATTAATATTGAAGAAATATATAGCAAAAGAAGGTGATCCAACCAGAAGAGAGAATTATTGTTGTAAGTTTTCTTTTGATTCTTCATTATATTTTTTGTCTAACCATTCACCGATTATTTAGAGGTGAGAAGAAGAAAGAAGATGAACAAGATGATGACTTTTCGAAAAAAGGAAGCTGAAAAAGTTAAAAATCAATTTGTATGTATTTGAAGGGTACGTGTTTCTTTGAATCGCACGGGGTAGGAGGACATGGTCCCCTAATCTAACAAACGAAATATAACACCAGCAGGGTAACATGAATGGTAAAGACTACGGAAAAGCAATCAATGAATCATGACATATCACTGTTACAACTTTGTCGAACAAAGCTTCTAGGGGCTTGGCAGTGATGGTAGGGGTTCGGGACTGACACGTACTTGGCCAGTGTTCGACTCCTACCAAATCTTTCAATTTCCTGATTTATTGGTGCTGTTTTTGTAGGGCCGGTTACAGTACTCTCGGTATGTAACTTGGGGTGGGTCACTCAGGGGCCCTGCTCAGGGGAGTTCCGATCTATGATATTATCGGAATGAAACAAGGGATTTAAAGAAGAACAGAGGCTAGACTATATTAGTAACAAGTAAACCATTTCTATGTGCATGTAAAAAGTCCCCCAAGAGTTCCCCAAAAAAAAAAAACTTTGTCGAATAAAGTGGAAGTTTTGACACAATGATTGTATATTGATATATATATATATATATATATATATATATATATTTACAACCATATAATAAGTACTTACACAAATAACTTTATGGTAACGTCCATTTGTAGAGGAGACAGAGAAACGGAGATTGATAGATAGATACAGTTTATGGACGGTAGGCAAAAGACGGAAGATCACTGGTTACCAAAGATAAACCATAATTGGCAGGAGTCTAAACTTTTAGATTTGACTTGGTAAAATTTGAAGTTTTGTGGTTCTTCTCTCTCTTCGTAAAGGTGTTTCATATTTTATTTTTATTATTATTATTATTATTATTTGAAAGTTTAGCAAAAGAGAAAAAATTGTCGTTTTCCAGAAATAAATAAATTTAAAAAAAAAAAAAAAAAAAAAAAAAAAACAGAAAAGAAAGAGAAAAGGTGTTGGGCGGTAAATGTAGAGGAGAGAGTGTATGGTCACATGGCAGTCATGTGCTATGAGAAACAAAGTGAGAAATTTGAATAATCAGTGTAAGGATTTCTTTTTTCCTTGAATATTCAATCTGGATTATTAGTCATGTTATTAAAAGATTACAAGCAAAAAGCTCTTTTAATCAACACAAAAAAAATTTGACACTTAGGCTCCCTTTATGTGAGCGGAAAATATTTTATAAAAAATAATTTTTGTATTTTTAGTTGTTTGGTAGTTTTAAGTTCAACAAAAATCTTTTATAGAAAAAAGTAATTTCTCAAAACTTAACCAAAATAACTTA